CTTGCCACCAGTCAAGGGCCAATAACACCCCTCATGACTCCCGGCATGACAACGCCGGGGATGACTCCTGGTATGACTCCTGGTGCCGGCGCACTGAAGATCAAGGTGTGGTTCGATCGCGACACATGTGTTGTTGTACGCATGCCCGCAAAGGGTTCTTTCCGCTACGCCGACATGTACAAAAAGATCGTCGAACGGAGACGACTCGAGTACGTCAGCAAGAAGGACTCTGGACAGGAAGACAATGGCGGAGCCGACGGGAACGGATCCGACGATCCAATGTTGGAGATTGAGTACCGCGACGAGAGAGACGGCGAGTACTACAAGCTCTGCAATGACAAGGAATTGGCGACTGCGCTCGAGACGAACGAGAAGTTGACGCTCGTGGTACGGGAAATTGCGTCGTGAGTCGATGATGTCCAGTCGGAGAAGCGACACCAAAGACGAGAAAGGCCTCATCACAGCGCCGAGCCGCACCGGGGGGGAAAGTGAATACTTGGTATGCTTATCGGAACATTGCTCAACAGTATATCACTCGTGAGTCCTTTCGGCTCCACCCGCCCCTCCCGAGAGCTCTGCATAGCAAATCTGGATTTATCCGTACCACGCCAGTCCGGAAAATAAGTACGAAGTGTACTAGACCCGCATCACTAGCAACATCCAGGCTCGGACGAAGGCAGCAGTCCGCAACATGACGAGGCAACTCGGTAGGGAGGGACGGAAGGGAGGGGAACAAACTTGACTTGAGACACCACCGCATGGCGACACGGCGTAGGAAGGAAGGAACCTTTTGGGTTTTCTTGGTTTTGGCGCTTTTGCAAAGACGACGGAAAAAAGGGAAACGATCAAAGGGTGGCGGACTTGGACTTGGTCGGAGTAGATGATAACCTTTATAACCCTCCGTTCTTTTTGTGCTGTTTTGCATTCTTTCGCTTCACTGTCTATGAAAATGAAATCATATATCTTAGTTTCGATTTGAATGTTTATATCTTCGTTTGATATGACTGGGCTGCGGTGAGCTGGTATGTAGCTCTAACCTTATCTAGGCTTTACGAGCACGGGTGCGAGCAGTCGTCCGACGAGGGCGGATGACTTCTTCTTCCTCCTCGTCTTCCTCCTGCTCGTCCTCACCGTCATCGTCTCCGGCATCGCGGTCGGCTTGCACCTCGTCTTCGCTCCCACCATCCTCGTTCTTGGCGAAGTACTTACTCGTCCTCGCACCCCTCGGTGCTGCCTTCCGCGCACTTTGCACACTCCTTGCTGACCCAGTCCCGCTGCTTGTCTTCGCGTTTTCCGTGGCTTTGCGAGGTGGACGTCGAGCAGGAGTAGCTGTCTTCTCCTTCTTTACCGGAGCTTTACTCGGCAGCGGCGCGTCAGACTCGCTGAGCTCAGAAAGCTGGCTCTCCTCCCCATCGAGAGACCGCTGATCAAATGCAAAGTCACTTAGTCTCTCGTGGGCTGCTTTGAGCGATAGTGGCTTTGAGGTCTTGCCCGGTACTTTTGCCGCCGGTGAGCTGACTGCTGGCGTTGTGTCGTCTTCTTCGATGAGGAAGCCGCCTCCTTCTAAGTCGATGTTGTGCTCTGCGCTGAGCTCGTCTTCGTCGTCCATGTCAACGTCGGCGATGTCGTCATCGGGGAGAAGGAACCCGCCGCCACCGCCTTCTTCGTCCTTTTCCGTGGCGTTGGGACCGTCGAGATCGATCACTGTAGCTCCCGCGGCTTTGCCTTTCCTTACGAAAGGATTGATGTCCTCCTCGACGCCCGTGTCAGCATACTCCCGGCGCATACGCTCCATGATGCGCAGCCCAGTGCAGAACTTCCGCCATATAGTCAGACACCGTTCAGTCCGCTTAATATCCTCTTTGCGCTGTCTTTCTGCTTCTCGCTCTTTCCATAGCTCCACGACAGCACGTTTGTTCTCTTTGGCAATAACCACTCCAGTAATGACTGGTATAGCCATGCGCTTGCCAAACTCGAAACCAGTACAAGCCTCGGCGTGGGAGATGCCTAGATCTCTGCATATCTTAGCGGTACCCTTAAGACGGAGGTGTACAGCGCCTTCGGGAACCATGCTGGGAACATAGACGTCGATATTGCCGAACGCGTTTCGAGGGATTTCTCTGTCTTCTCCGATAGGTGATGGGATGATCCAATCGGTCTGGTTACGACTGAAGAGGCCCTGCTTTGCCTTCTCGCCCGTCTCTCGCTCGACCTCCTCCATTTCCCTCTTTCGCATCATCGTTACAGCTCGCATTGGAACAAGCTTCATTGGCTGCTCGCCGAATTTGATCTCTCTGCCTTCTTTATGCCAGGATTCCGCAGTCTTGCATGCGACTACATCTGAGCGGTTGAAGACAGGCTCCTCTGTCATCTTATCGCCCTTGCCGAAAGCGAAAGTCCGCACTGGCTCGGCAGTAGGTAGTATCGCCTCTTCTCTGCGCAAGTGACGCTCAAGAACAAATTCAGCGCTTTGCTTGTACCACTGCAAAGACTCCATTTCCGGTTTGCCCTTCTCGGTCTCGGGCTTGAATGGTTTGAGATCTGTTGCCTCCTCGAGATCGTCCGCCACTGTGCGCTTGTTATGTGGCCGCGCGAAGATGCTGATGACAGTCTTGAACCATTCGTAGTCTTCGTACTTCGTGACCTTGCCCTTCTTATTGTATACTTTAATCTTCTCGATCGGTAATCGATATCCTTTGGTACGACCTGGTAGTTGATGTTTCTTCAAATACCGTACAGTCACATCCTTTGCGGTCCCGTCCGAATAATGTGCAACAGTGTAACATATAACTTGCTTCGCTTGCTCTGCACGTTTGCCGCGGGGCTCGAAAGTCGCCACCAGTTCAGCATTGGTAGCCACGGTAGACAAAACCATAGGATCCACAGGAATGTATGTATTGGATATCGGAGACAATACTTCTGTCCAATAGTTGGGATAGAACATGTCTCGGTCGTACTTCTTCTTTGGTCTCTTTTTCTGATAGAGGTCTGTGACATCAACAATCGAGTCGTCGTCTTCCAGGTCAGATGGTGCGCTCGATAAGCTGCTGTCATCATCGGAATCGAGGCTGATGATCTTTGACGCCTTTGCGGGCGCCTTGTCTATTTTACGTTTACTTTTCTTCGGCGGGGTCTTTCCGGTAGATTTTTTGTCATTTAAACCCGTTGTGCCATTCGTCTGAGGGTCCGATGGAGCGCTCGTGGCTTTGACCGACTTCGCTTCTTCCGCTTTCCCCCATCCGATGCCGGCAGGCTGTATGTTGGCAACCATCCTGGCTTCCAGACCTAGCGCTCTCATAAGCGCGGTGAAAAGCTGAGATCCCACATCGCGACTTCCCTCGCACGACTTGGCTAGTTTGCGAAGAGCGTTCTTGTCCTCCACTCGTTCCCCATGCCTCTCAACGTCAAGGCGATCTTTCTTCCATGAATTGATCTCTTGAGCCAGTCGCTTGATCGGCATATATCCAAGTTTCCTGATGCCGGGAGCCACGACAGTGAAACGCTTTCTCCAGTATGCTGTCATGAATTTTAGAAGCCGTAGCGTGGGATCCCCACCGCTCTTGTTGACAACACCAATCTCAACTTGCTCGGCGCCATGCTCCCAATCCCTAGCAGTGCGGTTTGTGGTTCCCTTCTTCTTCGATTTAGCAGACAGTCGCTTCTTCGATCTGCTGAGAGTCTGCGCGGACGTCATACCCATGTCTGCACGGAACCTGTCGATTTCAATCCTGATGCCTTCTGGCAGTCCGTCCAGAAGGATCTTGTGCAATTCAGCGTCATTCAGCCACGAGTTTCGGATAGCGTTGTGCCACACAAGAGATTGTACGTGCAGACAATGCGTCCCTTTCCGGACCAAACGTTCTCTATTCGACGGGCCTTTTCGTAATGTGCTGGCAGCGCGGTCTGTGGCCGAAGCAAATGTACCATTTTCGGTGACTGAGATTGTCACATCATCGATATCCATTTGGTGTGCAGATTGCTTGCTCTTCTCTATAGCATCCTCCCAGTCCATGTCCTCATCTTCTTCCGCCTCCTCGTCTCGAGACACTGGCATCGTAGAGTCGTCGGCACTTGCATCTGCTCGAATCCCGGGGACGTCTTCGAAGCCATCCTCACTGGAATCCTCGTCATCATTACTCGAGCTGTCAGACTCGTCGTCAAGCTGTTCCAGGTATGCTCGCGTGTCCTCGGCCGACGTCTTAGAGGCTTTATGTGAGTCGACCGCATCAAAGACCGAGCTTTTGCCTCGCACTGCATGCTTCAGCCTCTTCGGGGGCGGGGTTTCGGTAGCAGGGGAGGAGTGTCGCTTGCGCGACACGTAAGGCGGCATCAAATTATATTTTGCATGCAAGGAACAGTCAAAAGACCAGGAACCACGAAAAAGACGATGTTCGCATCGAGGTGAAGACGTCATGCGCATCTGAGATCCCCAGATTCGCGCCTCACATTTCGGAGATTACGGACTTGAGCCAGGTCGATATGTCGGTCACAATGAAGTGCTAACTTTCAGAAACCCTATGTAGGAGAAACATGCCTTGCTTGACATAGCGTCAGGAACTCAAGACAGACTGCCGTTGTTGTACGAAAGTCCGCACTTCGTGTACGCTCTACTTTGTTTTGCTGCTCGGGCGTGTATACTCAGACTAGCGACTATAGGCCAAGGAACCACGCAATATGAGAAAGGAACAGCGTCTACATGTTCTGAGAGCCTACCAAAATGTATGCGTTGCCACTGCCATGGTAAATGTAAACGTGAGCGAGAGTATCCTATACACTTTTTGCCAAAGACTGCGATCCATTCAAGCACGCCTGTAGAGCCACGACTCCTGCTTTTGAGCGGCTATGGAAATGTGCAATGGAATTATAGAGATATATAGTCAAGATTATAGGCTTTGAAGAAGGTTTAGACGCCTCCGATAGCGACATTTCCATTTTGTAAAAAGATGGATTTTGAATTGTAGTATATATATCATTTTGACCTCCTCTTGTGCTTAAACGCTGCCGGCGTGGCGCAATGGTAGCGCGCCAGACTTCTAGCATTTATGCAAACTGAGATATCTGGAGGCTGCGGGTTCGAGCCCCGCCGTTGGTACTTATTTTGACGTCTTGCTCTCACAAACCTTTTGGATAGCTTCACTGCTTGACGATAAGTACCATGTTTTTTGCGACCGATAATAGATTCAAGAATTTACAATATTGTGTTTTGCATTGCCGCTTCACGGTGACGCTGTCTCCACCGCAGATGGTCTGTGATGGTACTTTACTTCTCCGTATCCGTACTATTCAAGAAGCAGATCGCATGAAGGACTGCTGACGGATTGGACTTGAATGAGCTGCTCAGAGATATGCGGTACTTTGGTAGCTGCGCAAGCGCTGACTACTGGACGCTGGGCTTGTGACACCGGACGCTCGACCACGAACATTTCATACGGGTATACGATACTGAACACTGGATACTGGCAACTCAGAACTTTGACACGCGGCGATCGCCATTGCGAGACCTGGTGGAATGCAAGAAGATGCGATGGTGCTTCCTGCTACCTGCTCAAATATCGACGCCTCTCTACACGCCCTTCGCCTCCCCTGGCCCATCGCTCTGCTTTGTCAACCGCCATGAGCCACATCCCGCAGGCGATGGATGCCTATTCTCGAAGTGGAGACTCAACTTCGATTGTCTGGCAGTGCCGATAGCGGAGAGGGAATATGCGTCCAAATGGCGACAAGCTTCGAACGTGCTGCAGCGCAGCAAATTGCGATTAGACCGAAGGGCGAATCAAGGCTCCCTAAAAGGACTCATGGTGCGTTACTTTTGTTAGTCGTTATGACTAAGTGAGCGCGGAGGAGAACTCATAAAGAGGAAGGACCCGACCCAGCTCCCCAAGGAGCCCTCAGACTACTCAATACTTTCTTCAGGCCGAAGCTCAGATAATTAGCACGGTTTGGTCATCATTCGCCTGGTTGAGCAAGTGGGGTTCCACCTTTTGCCTGTGATGAATCTTCGATGACCCCGTCACAACTTTATGTCCTGACTCATTTGACGAACGGGCATCGGGGACGATGGGGCTCTTCATCGCTGAGGCAAGCCATGTCAACCGACATCGATGGCAGGGGAAGTGGTGTTATGGAAGGCTCCGACGAAGCGATCGGTAACATGGGATGTGGCATCGACATGGTCGATGCTGGACGAGGACAGCACGACGACGAAGCTGAATTGATCAGTGCAGACGATGGTCTCGAGACATGAGATATGGAAGAGTAAGTGATGATGCCAATTTCATGGTAGAGACGCAGCTTTTATTGTTTCTATGGTCTACAACTTGAGAAGGCACAGCCGTGAGTATATCGTCCTGGAAAGGTGCCATATTCGTGGCGGCGGCAGGCAGTCGAGCTCTATCACGATGGCTTCCATGGTTGCTGAGATCTCTTCTTCTTCATGCTTGCAGTATCTCCAAGCTGCCACTTTCCTTTTCGGTACTCAGACCGTGACACCGTCTCAGGCAAAGGGAGGAAGCCGCTCCATCGCCGGCACAACAACAGTGTAGACGTTCGCTGGGCAATCCCGGTCAGGTCAAGGCTGAAAGTTCTGCACATCAGCTAGATTTGAGGTGTTGCACGGCGGACATTCCAATTGAGCTGGCAGTCTATATCAAATTTAGAATCGGTGTGCCGCCAGGCTTTTGCCCCTTTTCCTTTTACAGCTGTGACATCTATCGATGAAGCTATTTTTTTACCCTACGAGCCGAATCAATCACAATGCCCAAAGCTCCGCCCGAGTAGGCAAAATGTGGTCCTGCACCTATGACCTCGACTGGCGGCACAGAGCGACTCCAGCCCAAGCAAAGCGCTCAGTAAAAGCCCTCAGAACACCTCAACCAAATTCAATTCAGATTTGCAACCTACAAAACCACGTAACCACAATCAGGGATATAAAAGACCGCCCGCCCTCCTTCTCATTCCAATCAGCCAGCAGTCTTTGTACACAATTTACACTCTTGCACACCAGGATGACGCAGGTCCTTCCTGCCTGAATAACAAGGGGTTCGCCTCGCCTATGATGAGATCGATCTAGCTACACAGAAGCGTATGTCGCTCGGTTCTCTGAGGGACTGGGCCACTTCGCTGATGGCGATGAGATCTGAGGCGGGTGAAGACGCGAGATGTTTGCGAAGGACGGTTGATTTTCACTTTCACTATTATACAAGTAGAGGCGAGGTATTAGAATGGGACTGTAGTCTATACTTGTTGTGAGAACTAAACTTTCTGTCGTGACTGTACCACGCCTGAGACTTTGCTCCCACTCATGGACCGTCGGGGTTCAAGTGGTAGACCATATCTGTCCAGCCACCACCGCCGAATTGCACAGGCGACTGCCCTTGAGTCTCGAAGCCCAAGCTCTCATAGAACGGGACGAGAGCCTCGTGAGAGATGATGGCGATACGGTCGGCCACACCTGCGCTCCGCATTCGTTGCATGTAGGATGTCATGAGCAGACGACCCAGACCCTGGCCTTGGAAATCTGGTAGTACGGACAGACTGTGCACGCACAGAGTGCGACCATGCTCCTTGTGACCAGGAACGGGACCGTCCTTGGCTGTGGCACTTCCACCAGATGGCTCGATGGCAGAGAGCATAGACTCGGCGGACGACTTGCGCCATTCGGGAGGTATATCCATATCCTCGTCACGAACAAGAGGATTTGTCGTCTTTGTAGCAATAACATGCCCGAGCAAGATAGACTTGCGGTCCGGTGTACCGGAGTAGACAGGCACAGCTGTAGACGCTGTCCCGGCGCTGCCTGGAACAGCCGATCTGGGCTTGTCGCTTGTCGCCGTGGCAAGTGTGGTATCTGCACTGGTGAAGAGACCAAGGCTTAGCTCGCCGCAGCTCGCGAAGCGGTATTCGAACTGCAAAATGTCAACTAAGGCACAATTGATCGATGCAATCCGTCATGCCTTTTCACGACTGCACCTTTCTTGGGGCGGAAAGGTAAGCTCCTCGAGTTTGACGCAGGAGTCGAGATCGAGTGGCGACAAGGCTTGCACGTAGGGCTTGATTGTAGACTGGGGCTTGGGAGATGCCAATCTGTCTTGGCTGTGGTTGTTGACGATTGACAAGCCATTTGCGGAATCGCCGTCTTTAAGAGGAACGTCGTCCCAGCTATTTCCCGTGTCCTGGTCTGCAGAATGGGCAGAAGGCTCATTGATCTCGAACATCATCGTAGCGGCTCAATCGGGTTGAGGATGAAGGGACCGGCGATTTCGATATCGCATGCCGAGTGGCAGCACGAGAACTGGAGCAAGAGATGGGGGACCGGGAACTGGAAGGGGGAAGAAGTCATGCATTCAAGATTAATCAGAAGAGGCAGTCAGGTCGTGAGTAAAGGCAGAGAGTAGTATTCACGACAGAGGCAAGGAAAGCAGGCAGTCTAGCGGAAGCGACAGCCCCACTAGGGCGGGGCAGGAGCAGGATGCAGAGCAGGCCAACAAGGTTGCTGCTTCCAGAAAGTCACTGGTCCAGCCATGTTTGAGCAGGCTGTGACGTTGGCTGAGCCCGAGATCGCATTAGATAAGTGCTGGTAAACCGTCGGTCACATCCGCCCCTCGGCCGCGCGCCACCCGGAACTGAGTCCCATAGTGTGGAGTGTATTGTCGACAGGCGACATTTCTGGAACGAGCGAGGGGTAACGCACGGGAATGGCGCTGACAGTCAGGAACGTGCCAGATACCGGAATGATTGCAGAGCGATAAGGCACGCTGTTCGACGAGGTAAGCACAGTGTAGTAGCTGATGATGTGGAAGTCGAAGCAGAAGCACGAGTGGAAGCACGGTCGCATGGCGATCTGCATCGGCCCTATTCTTCTGCCGCCCATTCCACCCATTCTTTGCCCCTCGCCCTATGATCGATGGTGGGGCATGCAATCGTGTCATTGTCTGTCATTCATCCGCTTTTGGAGAGCTGGCATTTGATCTCTTTTGTTGCAGATGATGCTTGACCTGGGGATCCACTCTTTGCAAGCGAATCATACAGAGATTCTCAGTCATATTCGAGTTCATCCCATGAACATGGAAATGTGACTAATAACAGAGATAGTACAAGTTCAGGTACCCCTTACGCGTGGTCCATTACTGCCTGACCAGCTACCCCACACCCGTCAACAATAATGTTCACAAACCTTCTCTTGCATTCCACCTGCTTTTACTAATATTCGCCTCTCACCTTCGTCCATAGAGCCTTTCACCTTGACTTGACCAGAAAGACACGTCGCTCTCCTGCTGCTCGCCCCATCCAGAAGTACAGTCTAAGGGTCGTTGTGGCACGATCGTCGTCATTTCCCAATCTCCCTCTGTTCACCGCATTTGAGTACGACGGGCCGAACAACAACATCTAATTCCTGTAGCGAACCGGCGAGAGACAGAATAATCCCGCTTGCCAGTCAACATGTAGGTCCATGTGCATGAATAGGTAGTGCACGTCCCTAACGCGCTCGTCAGGCCACAGCTTCACTGCATCATATCCGCCGCCGGCCACGCCCTAGACTCCGAAGTCCTTCCCTTAGATGTCTCGCTGGACTTGACGCTCGCGGACCTCAAAGCCTACATCAACGCCGAAACTGGGTTGGATGCCGCAAAGTTGCTACTGGCGCTGGACGGACGGCCACTCACCGGCGACAATACCACATTAGCGCAGGCAGGCGCCAAGGATGGTGACATGCTACAAGTCGGTGTACTGCAGGAGTCTAGACCCCAGCCTGCACAGCAACGTGGTACACAGGCTCAAAATCAGAACGCAAACATGGAAGCACAAATAGAAGGCGCGCGGCAGCAATTTCTGTCCAACCCACAACTCCTCAGTCGCATCGCGCAGGACGCGCCAGATCTCAGTAATGCCATCAACGACCGCGAAGCATTCCACCGCACCTATCGCCGGTACATGGAGAGCGAAGCTGCAAGTCGACGAGAGATGCAGCGCCAAGAGCAGCTGCTGAACGAAGATCCGTTCAATGTAGAGGCACAGCAGAAGATTGAGGAGATGATAAGAAAGGAGAACGTGGCTCGAAATTTGGAATACGCACACGAGCACAATCCTGAATGT